AAAATGGAAGCTATGATGAATATAGTGTGTGTATCTTCCATAAATTAAATATTATGTTACCTACTCATAATTTATCTTTCTCGCTTTGTACAACTAACTTTATAAAGAGGCTTTTTATATTTTAATACTGACACATTTACAAAGTGTAACTTTGATAAGCTTCAGAAAACGTTGCATTTTAAAACAGCAGAAAGTAATTAAATAAAAAGCGAATGAGGATTTGTGACACAAAAAACCTTAAAAGTAGGTCATGCAGGTACACATCAGACCACACATTTTTGGTGCAAAATGACACCTATTACAAGGAGATAAGAAGGTACAAATATACGTGTTAATGCGAAGTATACAGGGTGTTGATTTCAATCCTCGCCATATTTAGGGAGTTGATTAAGGAGCTTATTCTGATCACGAATCAGTAAAAAAATTGACAGCGAAAACATTTAAAACGAACTTTAACTTTAGTTAGTCAAATAACCTATTACTTTACGTGGCTTCCTTCAGTAGGCTATCCGACATGATAAGCAAGCGATCCGCGTAGCTTGATGGTGCCGCAGAGTAAACGTATTGCAGTATTGTACAGAACGCACGGAAAATATTCGCTAAAAATACCACTTTCGTTTGTAATTTTTTTTTTGGTGGATAATGCGTTTATTTAAGTCACCTAAATAAGTATAGCAAGGATTGAAATCAACACCCTGTATAACGAGTGCTCAGCATTAAACTTTTAACCCTTCATCAAAGTTAAAATAAACTTTTTCAGTAAAAACATGGAGGGCACCTAAAGTATTTTCATTTATGAAATTGGGTCATTGCATTCTATTAAATTACTATATTTTATCATAGTCTAGACTTATTTCTTAGAAATAATTGGTTTCAAGTTAATATGTCACGCACGATTTTCACACAAAACTTACGCCCGTATTCGCAAAGATTACTAAGAGGTCTCACAGTGCGCGTGGACACGAACCAATCACAGAGCGTTGAATACAACGCTGTGCATTCGTTTAATTTGCTGCTTCACTTAAGCAAACAACGTTTATTGCGAATACGGGCGTAAGGATTTTTCTAGTCGATTACTTACTTGCTATTTTTCATTAATTAATAGTGAAAAATAATTTTCATCCTACTATCCTACTTATATTATACGAATAAATGCGAAAGTTTGGATGTTTGGATGTTTGTTACTCTTTCACACAAAAACTACTGAACGGATTTTCATGAAACTTTACAGCATTATTGTTTAAAACCCAGAATAACATATATTTACGACGATCTTTGACAAACGAAATTTCACGCGGGTGAAGCCGCGGGCAAAAGCTAGTTATTAATATTACGTTCATTAATTTCATTTACGATAAATAAAAATTATAGTCTGCTCGCAACTTTGACCTCATAACATAGCCTATATGTGATATTCTGATGTACTTTACAATAAAGTTTCTCTGCTTGACCCGTGGTTGACTGGTAGTGAATGTCACCCGGCATTAAGTCTGCCACTGTGAATTACTTTCATGTGCAAAAGTTTTAAATAAAATAAAGCGTAGAAATGTAAAAACTCTTAAATAAAACAAAAATGGCTTTTAAACGTTTCTCAGTATGCGCCGACTGCTGTAATTTCAAGGCGCTTACGACTTAATTAGAACACAGATTACAATGTGTTGTCAATAATAAGATTATGTTACACAACATCGTATTACAATATGCATTAATAAATACACCGTCCATTTAATACAATCAGGTTTCCGACTAACTCGCTAGGGCGCGCCAATTGGATGTACGTCGAGGTATAACAGCCAGTTCACTCAGAACCTAATACTTAGGTACTTTCTAGTTTGATTGAAAAAACATTCACCAATATCAATATTAAACATGTGTTTTTATTTGAAAATAACATCTAAAGCAGCTGCTAGGACTCAAACCTTTCACTAGTTAGATGACTACTCTGACCACTGACCTATGGAGGCATTGTTAAACATCTGAGATAAAAGTAATTTAATTATGTCGCAAGATTATTTTTGAAAAGAAGATCAAAAATTTCAGAGCTCTCAATATGAGACTTTTAATGGTTTAATGAAACGCTAATAAACTTTAAAGTTGTTTTGATAAGCAGTAAATGACATTATTTTTAAGAAATTCGCACGCGAAACATTTGATTTAATTAAATGTTTCTCATTGTTCCATAAAATAAAATCTTCTGTTGGAGCTTAATTAATTCTGAAGTTTTATTACTTTACCAATAATCAGCTGAGTTAACGTAACTTATCTAAAGCTTATCATAGATTACTCAGTATATTTTTGGTAATAATAATAACACTAGCAACCCGCCCCGGCTTCGCACGGGTGCTAAGTATACATATAAATCTTCCTCTTGAATCATTTTATCTAATAATACTCCGTTGCGTAGTTTTAAAGATCTAAGCATACATAGGGACAGACAGCGGAAAGCGACTTTGTTTTATACTATGTAGTGAAGACTCAAAATGATTTCAAAAATCAAATATTAATATTGTGTTTGTTCCCCAGTCGATGAAGCACCTAATGTCGTGCCCTGAGTGCCCAAGCAACTGCACTCAGGAGGATTTGATGAGTGCTACTGACAACGCCACTCTTGTGGCAGAGTTTTGGGCTGACACTGTGTAGGTTTGAAGAAGAATATTGTGTATTTAATATGTATTTACTGGCTGTTTTATCCTGACTGTGACCCGGTACAGACACAACGCACTTCCGGTGTTGACCACTTACAACTGATTGGGGATTAGCAATACCATTCATGTAAGCTTATGGACAAAGGTGTCAAAGTGACTCGCTCGATGACAGCTAATTGTGGAGGTGTTTGATCAGCTGGAGAACTAGCAGGAGACAGTTTTCAATAGAATCATGGGCTGGCTTAATTAAATCAATCGCAAAGGGATCATAGAATAAATTAGAGAAAATTAAGAAATGGAAGACAGCAATTTAAAATCAATTCATCAATTGCAGCAATGTGTGATACACTTTCAATGATAAAAGAACTTTAATAAATTCATCCCGTTTCATCAGTTCATCCGTTTTCAAGCTTTGTACTGCCCGCTCTATTTTTAGTTTGGCCCTAAAATTTACTGGAGAAGAATACTAAATGACATTAAATTCGCCTTATGTAACTTAACCTACTGTGTTTTATGTGCATAATATTTTACAATGGAAAAGTTCGTAACTGTTAAAATCTCAATTTTCATGGAAGACGCTGAAATCATCATGTAATATTTTATGTAGGTTGCCATTTTATACTACATAAAACCATTATTAACTTTATAGAGTATGTATGTACACAATGGCCTTGGTGCACACATGAGCTGACTAAGCATACTTTCCTAGAAATTCGCTGCGGTAATTACCTACTTGCACATTCTTTTTAAAACACTTGCTCTTATTAAACCGTGTGTAGGTTCATAATGCGGATTAAACAACTTTGCAGTTTCTTTAATTTTGCTAACATACACTAAACTATTTGAAAGAAAACTGAGAAAAAAACGTGCTTCTATTTTTAGTTAAACAAAAAGATATCTAGAACCGGTTTCTTATAGAAACTTTATCAATAAATCTAGATACATATTGACTCGCAACAACTATACAAATATTTCCCTTGTTTTATACGAAAAGAAACGGAAAGAAAATATTTTACCTTACATTTCCATTTCATTGCTCGCAACATAAAAACAAAACTTAGGCTGGGTTGCACCATCTTAAGTACTTTAACTTTGACAAACGTCAAAAATCCGTCAAACTCCGTGCAAAAAACACCGGTTATCGTCAAAGTTCCGGTCAAAGTTAGGTGGTGCAACTAAGCCTTAGTAATTTCATGAAGAAGGTTAGTTCGTTAACCCAGAAAGCAACAGCAAACAATATTCGTATGTACATTTGTATGGAGTAATCTCAAGCTAGTTAATATTATCCGGGAATATTCCCAATACAGGAATAACAACTTGGGTTAACATGCCGAAATGAGAACGCGTTCGTATTTTTCTTAACTTACTTAGCGAAGTGGGGCAAAGGAATACACAACCATACATCCTGAACATTAACATTCCGCCGATAACTTAAAGTAAAACGGTAAGGGAGCTCACAGACGAGCGACAGTATATCGGCGACTGCTTGCGACTTAAGTCGGCGACAGACAATCGCCGAAGACAGAATAATATTCAAATCAGACGACAGTCGCCTACGCATCGCGAATACCGCCGATTCATCGCGACTCAAGACGAGCAGTCACTAACGTAGTGTCAACATGACATGACAGCGAAAGGCGAGAGTCAAAGACTGTCGCCGACAGTCACCTTAAATCGCTGACCGTCGCCTACCACTATAGCAAGCAGTCTAGTCGCCGACAATTTCGCTCGTCTGCGAGCTCTCTAAAACGGTAACGTGGGGCGTTCAGCACAAATGGGCTTTGCTCAAAACGGAGTAATTCATTTATCTTACTTATTCGGCTATTTTGCTTCTTCACTACTTTCCAGCCAGCTATCAATAAATCACCCACCTTACTCAGGATAATTTCTTTTACCTCGGCTGCCTATTTTCTTTGTCCTAAAAGCTATTTGTATCTTTTTATGTACATAATATGTTTTCTATTTACGTGAAAGTTTCTTAAACATTGAATGCTGTAAATATATTACTTAGCCATATCCCTATTTCATGGGCGTATTGTAGACGCGATCTGACGTCGTTCAGTAGCTATTTACATTTTTTTCACAATATATTACGATAATTTGATACACAGACAGATCACTGAACACAGATGAGCAGTAAAAAATAAATAAACTGAAATATGAAAATGCCTTCCACCTTTTATACTTTTCCTCTGACCTAAAGGAGAAGTTGCAACCCTCATATAAAATTACCTCACATTCGTAAAATTATCTCACAACGTAATAAATCTTGAACAGTTTTAGGATTTTGTTGAGCACGCTTTTGTTTTTAAATATGATCTCATCAATAAACATGCACAATATTTTGTCACTTACTTTTTTTTATCCATGACGTCTGCAGGTTTTCACTGCCTTTTCCCTAAGAACACATCACTCACAATCACTAATAAATTGCACTTAATTTCACTTAGTTCCTTGGTTTAGTTTATTAACTAATTTAAACCATAATATTACATGCTATTACTACAGCTGAAAGCATCGATTTGTCATAGTAACATAGCAATCTTATCAAGTCGTGATAAAGATAAGAATTCCCTAGAAGATGACCGCACACTCAAAAATTATCCTTATTAACTGATAAATAAAAGTTACCGTATACAAAGTGACACAGGTGAAGGTTTATATGAACCTTGACTTAGTTATTGTAAAACTGTTAAATAAGAGGTAATAATCAAAACCAACATAGGTAGATGATAATATTTAGAGCCAGAAGTAAATTCTGATGAAAATCATTTTCATTTGTTTCTATGTCACTTTTCCTTTAAATTAGTTCGAGGGAAGAATCAATAGTATTTTTCTTCTGAGATAACAACTTGCACTTACGTCATTCTTAAAATGTAAAGCTAGAATTTGAAATGTAGAGCTTGAGAGAAAGCAGACTAGAAAAAAAACTCAATAAATTGAAAATTATTTTGAAGGAAAACAGCAACTGCAATGCACACTACATACCTAATAATCATGTAAAAAAAGCAATTATTCGTGAAATATTCAGGGTTTCACGAGGGCATCACAAAATTCTTTGTCCCCCAAAAACTCGTTTGATCCCTAGGAGTTTGGTATAGACATTTGACGTAACTGGTAAACAATACGGCTGATATATTTACCTATATCTGTAATTTAGGGTTACCAAATAGAAAAGCGGCTCTCAAACATTTTCACAATGAACCCCTTAAAATATTTTATAGGAATAAGAAAACAAGTGATCCCAATGACACTATTGTGGTGAACTCACTAGTAACACAAGCATATTTAGCTCAGTACGAGGGGTTAACCGGACTTTTTAAAAACTAAATGCTTGATCAGCAAATCAACGGCTAAGTCGAAGCTAAAATAAAAGTAATAAGCAGTTATTACTGTGAAAGAAATAATAAATGATGATTTAGGTAGGATTCCATTTTATTTTTCTTTAAAAAGGAAAACTGATATTGCTGCAGCATCATTTTCACAACGCTGCGAATAATTTTATTGCTGACCATTATTTGACTGTGAAGTCAAACAGGCTTTTGAAGCCCGAGGGCTCATCACATTTTGAGAATAGCCGGTTTAAAGCATTGCCGTGGTCGTGATGCGTGAAATGAAATTCGGCCGATATAATCATTACGCTCCCCTGCCCCCGGATCAAAGTTCATCTATTGCTCACTACGATCTTGTTGCCACTTTGTAATGCTGATTTTTATTTGAGGGATGTTGCCTTCTTTATATATATATATATTTTTATAGGTCCAATGTTCTGCCCCTCGGATAGTGTATAATTCATCAGTTTGTTTTAGGAAGACGCTGCAAGTCTTGCAACTGAACTAACCGATATTTTGACTGAATTCGGAAATACCAAACATCACTTTCATATTCAATCCAAGACATGCTCACATGTAAGGAATTTATAGTACTCATACACTTTATACCCGATTCCATTAAATTTAAAAAACGCTACTAAGAACCTTTACCCAAACGGTTATTAAAACTAATTTAAATTAATAAACCAACTTCCATTCTGCAAAAGAAAACCACGGGAACGTTTTAGTTTTCAACCGAGTAGGTATTCTTTTAACAGAACTTTTTATTAAAGACCTTTCTACCTGGAACACCTAAGTGGTCTGAAACGGTGGAATCCGTGTACTTTTGAAATAAGAACGATATAAATTCATGAAGTGTCTGTGAAAAGGGAAAAAAACGTACCTATAAAATTGTTTTCAAGCTTTCATTAAAAACTTTCAGATTCCAACAATGTTAATCAAAAAGTGTGCAGAATCATAATAAAAATAAACTTAATAAAATGTTTGTGGGAGAAATGCGTAGGCTTAGGGAGGGACGCATATATTCTGACTGTGTGTTCAAAGTTCTAAACTTACTAATGTTTATGTAATTGAGTTTTACATGTCTTTCGCAGAATCGCCGTAGGGCGGAGTCACTTCTGCTTGACAGCAAAAATAACTTGCCTTTTCAGGGGTCTAGGAAAGGTATTGAAGTCATATTCTTAACGCAGATTTCCCAGTATCAGCGGTCTGTATTTAACTATTCAGTATTTATATTCACAGAAAACGGAAGCCTCATAAAGACTATAAAATAAAGCTTGAAACTTGATTCAAACTTATAGTATTTAAGTGATTGAACCTCGAAATTCGGGAGAATCAGACGAGTCTGGAAAATCTGGAAAATCGATACTCGAGTAAAATAAATAAATAAATATGCTTGAGTAGGGATTCATATTCTGATACTGCTTCACAATACGGTTGAATATATAGCATTCAACCTTCATTACTCTATTTAATGAATGGACAACTGTTTCATTCAGTACTTTTAAGGACACAACAAATTAACTACAGACAATAAGTTCTTCACCACATACTATATGTATGTACACAGTTACACACACAATATGGTTAATGGAAAAAGATACCAAACTTGCTAGAAACTAGGCCAAGTCGGGGTCAACGGCTCTCAGTCCCAAAGGGAGTAGCTTGGCGAGCTATGACAAGCAGTGACCATAAACACAAAGTAGCTCAAAAAGCATCTATTTTTAATGACTTGACTGTTCATGGTTACTTATAGGTCGCTCAACGAAAGTTGAGGCTTACACGTAGGTACTCAAACTGATGTAATCTATACTAATATTATAAATGCGAAAGTAACTCTGTCTGTCTGTTTCTATTTCACGCCTAAACCACTGAACCGATTTTGATGAAATTTGGCATAGAGATAGTTTGAGTCCCGAGAAAGGATAAAGGATAGTTTTTATCCCGGTTTTTGAAACAGGGACGCGCGCGATAAAGTTTTTCTGTGACAGACAAAATTCCACGCGAGCGAAGCCGCGGGCGGAAAGCTAGTATTTGAATACAGACCAAAATCACTTGCACATTCAAGTTTCAAATATGGAATACACAAGCTACCGCGCTCTTCAGCACAGACCATGTAACAAATACAAACATCTTTGATTGTGTTGATGGATGTGATAAAAGCTTCTTAACCTGAAAATAAGACTTCTGCTAATTTGAGGATTAAATATGGTTACCTATTTCAGTTACTTCTAAAATATACACTTCACAGTCATACTTAATAATATGTTTATGATTATCTCAATATCGGACACGATTTGGGAGAAATGGACTCTAATGGGCCATACCATGTTCTGGGAAAACCACACAAATACCGGACGCATGTTTACTGTTTCCACGACAAACGAAAATGACAATATACCTGCCTGCTTAAGTGAAAAAGACTGTACCTATAGCTGCCAAAGATACCACTTCCCATCTAATTAATTACTCAATATAATAGGCTGAGTTGCACTACCAACTTTGACCGTAACTATAACGATAACCGGTGTTTTTTGTATGGAGTTTGACAGATTTTTGACATTTGTCAAAGTTAAAATAAGTTGGTGCAACCCAGCCTTAATCTACCCGACCCACTTCGAAAGCCTGCGATTATGTAATAACTTTAAAGACAAACTAATCAATACAGAAAAGCTCGGAACAATTTAAGGGGCAATAATGTGTGACGAAACAATATGTACTCCACTGCCAACTTTTGGTACTCTCAAAACTGTGGAACGTTCTAGACAATAACTAACAATAAAGTGGAACGTGAACTGAAAATGTTTACGACCGCTATTTTGGATCATCTTTAGCTTTATTTCCTGAAACAAAAGGCTACAAATAAAAGAGCCTTCATTATAAGTATTGAACATGAAAGCTTTTTCTAGTCCAGTAATCCACGCTCTGAACTAGAATTCGGATTCGTACCTACTTCTCGAGGAGAAATCATTTTTATTACGGGGAACTTTTAGGTCATATTTTAGATTTTTAGTTCATAGTGTACTAGTTTCTGTCTGCGGCTTCGCCTTAGTTGATGTCGGTTCGCACATAGAAAGTATTACTAGAAGCATGCTTATTATTTTCTCACAATGTCAGTATATTTCTCTACGACAAAATTCATGAATTGTTCAGCGGTTTCGGTGTGGCAACGTTACAAGCAAATGAACGGAATATCATTATTTGTTGTGAAAGTAATATAAATAAAACTACAAATCATATTCATCAATCAATATTAGTACTAGCTTTGCTTTGTTTGGGAAAAAAAATCAATGGATAACAAAATAATTTTCAAGAACCATTATTTTAGGATTAAACGTGTATAACGTTAACGTAACGTTTATATTGCGATGTTTACTACGAATATTTTATTTACGAGAAACTTTCATTACTTTTAACCGTTTCCTGAAATTCCGTGTATTCATGGGAACATTTTTCCCAGTAATACTCTAAATGTTATCTCCGATTGTAGGTACTGAGATTTTAACGGGAATTTTCAGAGAACGATATCTAACACTTTCAGGATTTACTGGATGTAGTTAATAATATCATGAACGGGAATCGTTTTTAGCACGTTAAAACCTTCTGGGAAACAAATGGCAATTTTAAAGTTTACACGTTTCCCAGAAAGGTAGCGGCCACAAACAGTTGGAAATGTTGGAATATAGTTAACAGCTAATTCGTATGTTATTTGTTAGAGTTTTGTGTACTGAATGCTACCTCAATAGTCAGCTCCAATTTGAGAAATGATGGGATATTACAAGCCCTCAACCCTGTTATAATATTAAAAGTAATTTATTATACCATATACCCCCGTGTACTAGAAGTCGAACTCTAGAATAGAGATCCGCTTTTATAAATCTCAAGATAAAATTAACTATAGTAAGGGTGGATTCGACCAAACAAGAGTAAATATTAATCTCAGAATAAACCGTCAGTTTATACATATTTCCCATACTGAAACTGCCAATGTGTCAGTTATAACAGGAGTTATTCTCGGATAAAAGTTTGGTCGAATCGGGCCTAAATCACGTATCATAAATTTTTTTAAACTAAAGAGTAGAGTCTACAGGTTGTGGTTCTTTAAAAAATCACGTTTAACAGGTTATCCGATGTGTAGAGACCTATAGTTCACTTCCGGAGGAGCGAGAGGCAGGAGGAAATGTATTATGAAGATTGAAGGCCCACGCATTCTCTGAAATGTACTCCTTAGAAAGGAAAACCACTTGAGGGCGTGAGGACTAGAGCTGAAGCCTCCCTCGACTTATACACTATCGTTTTCATACGAACCTTAAGAGGTTGTGTTTGTAAATGTACCTAAAACTCAAAGTTATTTATTTATTTAAAACTTAATTGCAAATCGATCTGAATACAAAGGTTGATCTTAATGTCATATAGCATTATCTCCTGGTCAACCTCTGAGCCACACGGAAAATTAGAGTACCTAGGCGATTTATGAAAGGTGGAGATTAATAAAAACCGCGAGTATTAATTGTGTTTGTGTAATATGTAGAGTAATTAACCATATTTTGATCTAAGTAATTACATGTTGTTTGTAAATTACCTAACTAATATCCCGAATGTTTTGGCATGAAAATCAAATCAAGCAATATCTGAAATGATTCAAATTCCGAGCTGTATTACTACTCTTTGAAAATTTAACTTTTCAACACAAATATGTTTACACAACCAAATAGCCCGTTTCCAGCAAAATGGGAGTCCGCATAGTCATAACTTATTCACGATACATTTATCACAAGGGAAAGGTCCCCAAATTCGTCGAATTAGTTATCCTTCCGTCCTTTACATTTTCAGTATTGAATTTTTGCAATCCCATTCCCCAACACGCGAGCGCAGAGATAGCAAGCAAACAAATAACATTCGTAAATACGATGTACTGACCCATTTCACCGCCCCTAAAATAATATGCCTCCACGTAAATTAATCCTAATCGCTGTAATCCTCCCTGATTATTATCCCGCTACGAGAGAAAGAAAAACATGAAAGCGGTTTCGTAGGCATGTTTGGCCTAAATAATTACGAACGACGTAATACACGTCTCACGCTCGAATTTTTATCATATTGATGCTGGTTACCTGGATCAATGTTTTATTTTGAACGTGCGTTCGGGGAGCAGTTGCTCGCAATCGCTCCCTGCGCTCATCAATCACACGCTATCAATATTATCCAATTAAACCAGCCAGCCTCCGGCGTCATCGCGAATCGTTAAAACCCTTTCAAGCCGCTACGCCACCCGCCTATACCTACTCGATCGATTCGATCCATTGCTTTCCCCAACGTTTATCTGATTTCGGTGATTGTTCTATTGCGAAATGAATTTCGCTCTGGATTTATCTCCACGAGTAGAGGTAAGTTGGGGACTGAATGTTTAATGCGAAGCGGGTTCAGTACTTCTGTTACGGAGTCGTTCGCCAGTATTATTATCTAGAGAGTTTGAACACGTTCGCTCTCCAACTCTCCAAGGCACAGCTGTGTCAGAACTTTGACGTAAGATTATTATCGTAGTGCTCTATCGTATCGATTGTTGTTATGGTTCATAATGTTTGTTTGGATTCAGCGCTCACGGGGTACTTACCAATCATGTGGTGGCTGTGGTCTCCTGCGCGCTTGCACGCAACAAGGAGGCTCCTGAGGCTCGCAGGGCAGCTGCAGCTGAGGCGGCGGCGGCGGCGGCGGCGTGCACGCGAGCCGGCGGGCGGCGGCGGCGCCCACGTACTCCACGTAGCGCGTCGGCGGCGGCGAGCCCGCGATGTCCTCGCGGCACGCGGGGCCGCAGCACTTCCTCGGCGCTGGAGGCCGGCACGCCAGGCCGCAGTACACCGGCGGCGGCGGTCGCAGCGGCGCCGGCGGCCGCGGCACGTACCGCTCCACGGGCACGTGCGCCGCCGGGGGCACATAGCGCGGCCGCCGCGCGCGCTCCGCCTCCGCGCACCGGCGCACCCGCCGCGGGGACGCCGAGAAGCGGTCCGGCAACGGCGCGGGCGGCGGCGGGCTGAGCCGCTCCGGCGGCGCGACGCTGAACGCGCCCGCCGCCGGGAAGCGCTCGCAGGGGGAGCGCGCGTACTCCTCGCCCATGGCGCGCGGTCAGCAGGGCCCGCCGCCGCCCGCGCGCCCTCCCAACCACGACGACACTCTGTCTCACATGCCGCGCGTCCACTCTAGCACTGTCACTACCCGAGCGCTCCGCTAGCTCGCGAGGGCTACACCGCGGTCCCGATGTCCGCATTCACTCCGCGAGCGCCATGACCCGATCGATAGCGCGGTGCGGGCTCAGGGAGCGCCCGCCGAACTTCGCCCGCGACGCATCGCCCGTCCCCGTCTACGTATTCGAGGTTGCGTTTCAGGCTCAGAGGCTGGGGCGAGGCGAAAGTGCGTCCTCGACCAAGATGGCTGCTGTCGTCATGACCGCGTGCGGCGCGCCTGCGCGTGGAGCACTTTGCGATGTGTTTGTTTTCACCAGGGAGCTTTGCGATACACCGAGTTAGCGAGTCACTGAGCAGTCCAGGGGTGATGATGTGATGATGCGCGGCGCACGGGCGCGTGCGGGTCGTGTCGGGTCGCGGTCGGCGGCGCTGAGCGGAGTGCGCCTTGCGCGGCGACGTCAGGCCGGTGCGCGTATCGACGCCGCGAGGTGCGCAGCGCCGCCGCGCCGCCGACCGCGGCTCACTTCAAAGCGGACCGATAAAAACACTCGATTGCGAAACGGCTGTCGCAAAGCCTACTTTTATTTTCACTCTCCTGTGAACACAACACCTTAATTTGATCCAGTTAACGACTTTATATTACTTCGATACTTTTATAGTCACGAATGGGGTAATAACTTTTCAAAAATGCTATTCAGAATAAGTTGAGGCGAGGTATTTTGATATTATTTTTAACTCTGCTCTCAGAATTACCACGAGGGACAGAATACAAAATAATTTTGAGGCCTCGTTAATAATTTGGTAGGTGCCTTACCATTTTAGTTCATAAGACTCACTCGTGTAGACTTTTTCACTACATGTTTTTCTGAAGAAAATTCCTGAACTGAAACTCTCCTAAGAAAATATACAATTCTAGTAACTTTCACCGTTTAACTAAGAAATAATTAAAATAAAAGCATTCGATGGTCCAAGCTTTTTGTTCAAGAACCGCCTCTAAGATCTTACAGGAAATGTATCATTCTAATCGGACAAAGATCGACTCCATCTTGCGTTTATCGGGCTTTTTATAGAAACGGCCTGGATGGCTGAAGGTATACTTTTTATGAGCTACGAGCAAATACCACGAGTAACTCAAAGATTTCTGTGGACCTTTTGAACGTTATTGCATCCAATATTTTGTGGAAAAAAGTATGATCAGCAAGAAAATGCCAATCCCGTTCTCTTTTTTTTACAAAAAACGCTGCCATGGAAGGTTTCGTTTCACAACTTATAATTTTTTTGAAGGATATCAATTAACTATTATATTACCTATATCATGCTCAAAAAACTTATTTTTATAAGTTCTTTATGATATTGAAGTTTGTTTGTTGTCGAACAACTACACATATTATCTGACGATATATCTATACTATACATATATCCAATTACACCTTTTGGTAGATATTTGTGTCAACCTCGAGACAAGGCCGTCAAATCTCACCGGGGTAAACTGAAGCTTGACTTCGCCAAGTTATCGAGGCGTACAGTCAACACGAACTTACATGCGAAGGCAAAGATTTACCTCTTTATTCATTACTAGAGAACGTACCCTCTAGTCACAATCCTGACATGTATTATTCAACACGTGGTAGAATGACACGCATGGCCGCGTTTGACATCTGCATGAAATGAGACGGTGGGAAGTGGGAACTCGCTGGAATTCAGGTTCGTGATATGCCTAGAGGTTGTTGTGTTCCGGCAGTTAGAGGTAAGATAGCCAGTTCCTCCGTGGTTGAGGATTCCGGGTGAAGCTCGCTTCCACCTTCGGCCTGATCATCACTTACCATCAGGTGAGATACAGGCCAAGAGCTTCCTCGTTGTGGATNCCGTGGTTGAGGATTCCGGGTGAAGCTCGCTTCCACCTTCGGCCTGATCATCACTTACCATCAGGTGAGATACAGGCCAAGAGCTTCCTCGTTGTGGATAAAAAAAAAAAAGAAAAAAAAGGTGCGCGTCGAATATCAAGGTAAATCGGTCAAGAAGCGCGAAGTAGTAAAGGAGAATACTGCAATATGTCAAATGAGTTAACTGACTTACGCCCGTATTCACAACGATGCTTGCTTAAGTGAAGCAGCAAATCGAACGCAAAGCGTTGAATAGAGCCCTATGATTGGTCAAATTGTCACTGTGTGTCCACGTGCACTGTGAGACCAGCCTCATAGTAATTTTTGTGAATACGGGCGTTAAACTAACACTACAAATAAGACTTGGATCAACCTGGTGGTCTGAAAAAAGGTAAGTAATGACTGAAATTCTGGATGATTCTTAATTTTAAAGACCAATTGAGCCACGTCAGTTGCTTAACGAGACTTATAAAGTCTGATAATAGGATTATTATAGCTTCAAAATTGTTAACAACCTATAGTGTAGGTAGAGCAAAACGAAAAAAGAAAACATTTTAAATTAAGTTGGAAGAGACTGTCCAAATATTTGTTACTATTGTAAAGCATTTCTTTGACTTAGATAAGCTTCTTTATTAACTTTAAGGGTTTACTCCTTGAATCTGTTCGATGTCTTTGATCCATTAGGTAGATGCGTATCAAATTACAGACAGAGCTAATCTACAAAAAACTATTTTTTTAATCTGAGGACAGCTTTGCTGACGAATCCTTTTCAGCATCTAGTCCTTGAAACTTGATATTTCAACTCCAAGTTTTCACATTTGAGGATCAAATGTGAATAGAGTAAATTAAAAACGAAGTTGTTTAATTTCGCTCGAGTCTGAGTGCACTTCGTCGAAAGACGTCTGGGGTCATAATACAGATTTTTCTAGTTTACGATAGACCAGGGGGATGTCGATTACTTAGATTTATTCCGTCGTCATTCCATTCTCGTCACACCTTCTTATTTCATCCCGATAAGTTTAGGTTCCTGTTCCATTCATGTTAAATACCTACTCCGATTTTGATTTGTTGATCGAAAGTTAAAGATATCGGAATTAAATTCTTTTAACCCCAAGAGTCATAATACTACGAGTAAATAAGCATCATTGGGAAAGCTCGCTCCACCATCATCACAAGCATTTTTCAGGTTAGATTTAGATCAATAGGCAACTCACACAATAAGTATTGAAATAAAAGGCATCGTATGAACTTAAAATTGAGCCACTCTACGGCTGCTTTCTGCAATCTAAGCTATGGAACTTTACACATATTTTGAACACTATAACTGTAAAATTTGCTCGTGGTAACTTATTTAAGGTCGTAACACTGCTTAATTAAGTAAGTTTTTAATAGAATCATAAAGCACTCAATTAATAAAATCCTCACAGTTGAAAATTCAGAGATGAATAAAAAAAACTATATTAAAAACAAACTAGGTAATTTAATTACATTCCACCAAGAAATTTGAGTTTGCTTTTTGTTTTTCTTTAATTCCCAAAAAACGGTTTTAGTTTTTATTCCCAGTACCAAACAGGATTAATTTATTTGCATATTTAAATGTAAGCGATAAACATTAATTTCGCGAAGCCGAACCAACCGTAGAAAAAGTCATGCATGAACATTGAACTCAATCTAAAATGTAAATGATAATCTTTTATTTCCAAAATCCTTTGCTGAAAACAATGAAATTCGTGAGCAGTCCACGTTCGGAGTCAAAACACTCAAATTAAAGGGAGGCAACAACAATGGAAGCAGTGCTAGGAAGTTTTTATTTAACGTAATGTACCGTAATGCATTATTGATAGGGAATCAATGGTACGGGCTACAGCAGATCAGAATATACGTTTTTGTTACAAAATCGCCTCTATTACTAACGACATAAGAAGCTACCATATTTAGCTTGACGTGCTGTCGTCAGTACGTCCCTAAGGCCCGGCCCTAACACGGCGCGATCACGCACGCTCGTTTTCCCTCCGTTACTTACTTCTAGATAAGGAAAAATAATATTGATACAAAATAACTCGCGTAACGTTATTATCGATGCACTTGTTTTTCTTTCAGGCAAGCGATTTGCATACCGTTACGGTATTATTAAAAAAAAGCAAACAACACTTCTTTGTGACAAAATTATTACGTGCCAGTTTTACAAAAAACAAAATAACTGTCTGTCACTTTAGAAAAGTAATTTAATTTAATCAGCATTCATTTTTTTGTTTCCTAAGGCTTAATGCGGTTTGCTAAAGCCAGTGTCAAGTAAAAAAAGTTTCTAGTGATACCTACATTATAATATTCAAATAATTATGTAAAGTAAAAACGTACTTAAATGTAGCAGATTAATGAACGAAAATTATTAATCCCTCACTCCCCTTGAGTTTCAGTTATACGGTAGTGAGATCTAATGCGAATATTATTTACTAAATTTAAATTAATAAGTGTGCCAGTTGTAGTAAGTTGTGGAATGAGGGCTTCAAAAGCAAAAGGCTCTCCATCACAAAATCGTTCCCATAAAAATTGCGGCCATTGACCACCGTTCGACGTAATTCGTGCGTCAATAATCGCAATTGGTTCATGCTTTCTTTACTAAGTATTAAGGGCAATAATGTCTTTTATTGTTCAATTTATAAGAACGATGTCAAAAATACAAAAATACTAAACGAACGTTTGTTAACTGAAACCCAAAATATGCCTAGATACATGTGCGTAGTAACTAGGTAAGTTACTCAAGTTATTTTCACCTTTCGTATCTACAGGTGTTATTCGGAGTATTCACAGAATAGAGAACTAATCTTTAAGGTCGTAGACAAAATTTGAAACCAGTTACTAAGAACAGAATTCGGTTTTCTAATAAAACTATCTACTTATTTGACGATTTCAAATATTCGGGGATTAGATAACGATCAATCGACAAAACTGTTAATTCTCATTAATACTAGTAAAAATAAGAAAACTTTATTTGATACGAAATACTTACGTATTCACAAACATTGCTATGAGGTCTCACAGTGCGCGT